CGGCTGTTCTACTCGTGGCTATCACGGCTTCACTAATAGTCATAGTCGCGGCCCACGGGTTCATAATGCTTGTGGCCGGGCCGGGCTTGGTAGTGGGCTCGCTCGAGCTGATCTCGGTGGACAGGCTGGCTAGATGGTCGGCTCAGCTCGAATCGGCGGCTAAGGGCACGTACATTTTGCTTAGGGACTTGGACACCATAAGCCGACACGTGGCTCGGCTGAACAACGAGCTGGAACACGTGGAAGGGTTGGTGCAGATGTGGAGTGACAGAGGAGATGACCGGCTCGGAGCCAGTGATGAGGTGGCTTGCCAGCTCAAGAGGAACAACCAGAGCTTTATTGAGCAGCTTGATGAGCTGGAAGAGCATTTATATCTATGTTTTATGACGATTAATAGAGCCAGAAATCTTGTGACAAAGGAAATTCTGAATTCTGGTACTAATGTTACCAACTTGAATTCTTCACCAAGCATTTTGGTCATATAAGTTATGACAGATAATTTTTTATAATTCGGTTCGCTAGAGCTAGATTCGACTCGAGCTATACTCATTAATGTTGATAAATGAGTCAGTAATCGAGCTCGATAACTTGTGCGCGGTTCGATTCGTTTACACTGTTACGTACAGGTTGTTAATCATTATATGAAATTAACTATATATATTATATGCAGTAAAACTTACAAGCTGTACATATGAATGAGCATATGGGATTCATTCTGTAATGTGGTTGGTTGGGGCCTTTTACCTAATGTTTGATAGTAATTAATGCAATAAATACGTTTAAAATTTTGTACAAAATATGTACATTTGGCAAAGAAAATTGAATTATTCCTAGTTTGATATGACCACTTAGACAAAAATTGTACCGAAATTAGAATACAAGGGAAAAAAAAAAAAAATACTTGAAACAAAACTTAATTGATTAATTAACAACTCTATATCACTTCTCCTACACATTGATTTGGTACACTTTGTGAGGGGCTCATAAATATCATCAGATGTCAATTGTTTGACAGCCCAAATGGGGCCCAAGGGAAGAGCATAGGCCTTTTATGACCTGATTCATTAAACAAAATAAATAAATAAATAAATAAATATTTGTTTAGCTAATTAGCCGTTTATTTGGATTTGGGCATTGAGTTAGCTCACTAATACTCATCTACACGGTAGATACATGTTAATATGTCCACCGCTTATGTGGCATGCACACATTGGTGATGTATTTTTTTGAACATATTAACATCACCAATGTGTGCATGTCGTGGATACTTTAACATGTACCCACTGTCGATAGGAGAGCATTATCCTGAGTTAGCTACCTCCACAATCATTTGACGAACATGTGAACAAGTACAAAATACAAGGAAAAATGGTCAAATATTGAAATTACTAGTCTCTTAGGGGGCAATGACCCTATCCACAACAAAGTTTGAGGACATTGATTATTCATAGTAAAGTTTGAATATTATCATGATCATTCGTCACCTTCGTCGTTGCCATCCAGTGGATCAGAATCCAATTTCTCGTTACTAGAATCATCAATTTCCTCACCGTGAAGCATCCACGTGATATAACTCTGAAGTATGCCATACTCTAATAAATCAGCTTCGACATTGTCTCGACTTCGGAGGCACACATTATTACATTTTTTACAAGGGCACCTTATCTTATCCGAGCCTTGTTTTGAATAATATGCAAAATCCAAGAAGTTCTTAACTCCGTCTTCATATTCCGGGAGTCTTCTATCTGCAAGACACATCCAACTTTTGTCCATTCTGGATTCCTACAAATGAATAAATTCATTCTTCTTGAATTACAAAAGTAAATTTATACTCATAATTGAAATCTTGTTTAACCATTTCATCGAACACTTTGTAGGCAAATTAAGTTTGGTATATTTTTTGAGTAAATGTTATAATTTATTGCCAAGATTATCAAACAAATTGTAAAGGACTTAGTAAACAAAATATGTATGCTCTCACCATCACCATTTTGAAGAAGCAGGTTACAGAAAATGGTTACAAAAATTGTTCGATAAAGCCTGACCAAATATGTGCTTTAGAAGAAACGGGATTCAAGAACAAACCTCAGAACAGTTTGTATTATGGAAGTTGCTGAGAATAAATGCCAACAAAGACGAAGCACAATCTTGGAAGAATAGAGAGCGAAAAAATAAAAAACACATGTGAGGAATAGGATCAATGTCTTAATTAATTCACAAGCTAGCATAGCGTTTTATTAGTACAATGCTCGTGTATTACACGAGTGCTTGTTGTCAGTTACGCTCAGCACATTTGATAATTATATATAGGGGGATTATTTTTAAACCCTTGTTATATAACTAACTAGCATCAAATTACTATTACATAGGTGATAATATAAAATTCCCAAACCAATATTATAATATACCATCAAAATAATTTATTTTATTAATTATCTAATAATTTATTTAGTCATTATTTCAACACTATGCGTATTAAATTAAATTTATTGATATATTTTATATTTTAATATGGATGTAAAATTAATAATATGGTAGTGAGATTTGAGAAAGCTAGATAAATAAATAATGAAAAATTTATCACACGTACCTCTTTCACTTTTCTTATATATAAGTTTGTAGCCTAACTTATGTTATGTTGGATACCAACTTTTTTACCATTAATTTTTTAATATAACGCTAATAAAATTCTTGTTATTATTCTTTATGATTAATAGTGATGATATTTTTTTGTCGCTAATTTTGTTATTATTTTGACATCAATAAGGTAACACTAATATCATGTGTTGTACTATTAACGATAACTTCATAAGTTGTCACTATTAAAAATTGTAATAGTGACGACACATTTTACATGCCGACGATATGCAATTAAAAAAAAAACATTTAGTGGTGAATAAAAGTGTCGAAAAATAAAGTTGTCACTGATAACTAGCAGTTCAACAATTTTATGACATTACAAAATATTGTCACTAAAGATGTGGTTATAGTTATGAAATTAACGTCGTCACTAAATTTATCGTCATTAATAATGATTATTCTTGTAGTGAGAAATCTTATCATTATGAGGAAAAAAAAAATTGTGTTATTTTGATGTGTGCATAGTAAATCAAGAGACATATCACACTAGATGAGAAGTAACATTTTGCTACTTGATAGTCCTAACCAACATCATAAATATATATAGTGGCATTTCCCATCATGTCATTACAAGAAATGTAGATGTGGAAAAGTATATTAAAAACAATGATTTTTAATGTTTATATATCTAAGGATTAAAGCAGTAGAGCTTTCAACTATATGCATATTTTAAACTTAAATTTCATGATACTTTTAAAAACTTACAAAAAAATATGTGACATTTTTACACTATAAATACACTCTTTTATTAAAAAAAAAAAAAGAAAAAAAGAAGATTGTTCAATCCGTTTAATAGTTCGGTCACCTCATCGAGAATTTTTGCAATATTTTATGGGTTTTTAAACCCAACCCTTACCAAATGGTCGTTCGATTTAATGGGAAACGGACTTATCGTCGAGCCAATTCTTGTTACTAACCGAATCACTTGAAAACTTGTCCCACTTGAAAAAAGCTGGAAGAACTCCATAACCTACTTTAACTTGGCCTAGGTTATATATAAAGTTGTTAAACGAAAAAAGTCATTTGTGCGCTCGACTCGACTCCTCAAACGAGCCGAGTTCGAACTTATTTAATGTTCAGTTAGTTTTGACCCGCTCGTTAGGTTTGAAAAATAAAGGTTTTTATGTACTTTCCTAAAATTTGTCACAAGCACAAGTGGTTCACTTAAAACGTCAATCTCAATTCGACTTGATAAACGAAGCTTAAATATCAAGAACTCAAACTCGACTCAGCTCGTTTGCACACCCGAGTCATGCGTCATTTCTTAATTACAAATGCAAGAGCCAACGAAAACGGGCAAGGGAAAAAGGGGTTAAAAAAGCATCTTTCTTTTAACTCAAAAGACTCAACTCCCACCAAAAAACACAGCGGCTAAGAAAAAAAAGGTGGCAATAAATGTTTCACAACTGCACCATCATAAACCCAATAAATGCAATCCCAACCACATCAGAGTTGTAAAATTTTCAATTCCCCCTTATAAATATGTGCATATCTCCAAAAACCCATTTACCCAAGCCCCTAAAACAAAAAATCAAATTCACTAAAATAACAAATTCCTCCCCAACACTTTCCCCTTTTATCACTTCAAGCCCCCAACCATGGCCGGCGAAATTCCCAAGGAGGAGAAGAAGCCCGAAGCCGGAAACGTGAAAATCCTCGACAAAGCAAACGTGAAGCCCAAGAAACCCATCGGCCGGCAGGAGTGCCAGCTTGTCACTTTCGATCTCCCCTATTTAGCATTTTTCTATAATCAAAAACTGCTCGTGTACAAAAATTGCGAGGATTTTGAGGCGGTGGTGGAGAAATTGAAGGATGGGCTGGCTCTGGTTTTGGAGGAATTTTACCAGCTGGCGGGGAAATTGGACAAGGACGAGGACGGCGTGTTCAAGGTGGTGTACGATGATGGTGATGCGGTCGGGGTCGAGGTTGTGACGGCGGCGGCGGAGGAGATCGCGGTGGCGGAGCTGACGGCGGAGGAGGGGACGTCGAAGTTCAAGGAGCTGCTTCCCTACAATGGGGTGCTGAATCTGGAGGGGCTGCAGCGGCCGCTGCTGGCTGTGCAGGTTCGCCGTAAAAAGTTCTCTTTTATTTATTTATTTATATATATATATATATATAAATATTTGATTTTGAATTCAATTTGTTGTGTGAATGGAGGAACACAATTAGGCTCGACTCGGAAAGATTTTTCCGAGTCGGGCTCGATTAAGTAAACAAAAGAATCAAAATCGAACAACTAATCATAAAACTTTAGGTTAACTGCTCATTAAAAACTTTAGGTTTGTTAAACAAGTAGAGTTGAACTTTCACGAACTAGAGGGAGAGTTTTGCCACCCTTGTGGTCCTACCTGGCTCGATTCCGAATTAGTCGGTTCCCCTGTAGATCCGAAAATCGGAAGGTTCCTGTACCAAAAAAAAACTTTCACGAACTGAATCTAGTGAGCTTTATTATTACTCTATGCATTGACTATATATTAAGTCAAAATTAATATTATAACTATAATGTAAAAATAAGGAATTATTTTAGCTGCATTGGATAAAATATTTCATAGTACTATGATGTTTTTGGAAAGAAAGTCAAACAAGTATGTCCAAATATGACATTATTAAATAAATAAATAAATTATAACACATTGTATACATTGGTTCAAACTTCAAAATGCTAAAATGTGTGACTGTCGGATTAAAAGGTAGTATTTTATTTTACTCAGTGCCTGTAATTTATTTATTTATTTTATTTGGAGTGTGATTTTGTATATAAAAATGGTCCATGACTGCTTATAAAGACTGGACCAGTGGTGGACTGGACGTTGGTTTGACCTTTGTTGAATTATGGATATGTAAACTCCATTGAAGAGCCCAAATTATATAAGAGCAGGCAATTAATCATAGCCCAATTATGCATATTTGGAATGTAATATATAGTGTTTCCTAAAAAATAAATAGTTGCATTGATAAAATAATATCATTTGTGGAATGTAATATTACTAACGATTTTTCCTTTTCAATTAGAAACTATAGCGGTTGTTAATAAGGATACAAATTGAAACACTGCTTTTTTTTTTTTTTAAATTTTATGGAATGCTTAACTTGTCGGAGCTTATTAAGCTATAGCTTATTGGTCTACCAAACAGGGGCGGAGGTACATTGTAAAGTACCTGGGCTGTAGCCCGGGGAAAATTTGGAACAACTTGAGGAGTTTTATATACAAAATGAAGCAAATTTTTATTGTAGCCCACCTCTTTTCACAGCCACGTAGCCCAAGCAATTAAAAAATTAAAATAAGACCACTAAGACAACATCCTATATTTGAATTACCATTTACTTAACTATTGAAATTATTCAATTGATGAGTCTAATAATTAAAAGTTAAACGTTGTTTGAATACTCTATTTTTCTTTTGGGAAACCTTTGTGAGAAATCTATTTTATGGAAATATATTGTGAAAAAGAATGTTAACTTTTTCTTAGTTTAGGTATAAGTATTCTTTTGTTCGTATTTTATACATATCTTATGAGTTAAATTTAATATTAATAAATTTTTGATAATCTATAAATAGATATTCATATTGAATGTAAAAAAATAAATTTATGCTATTTATTAACTATTATTATCAAATAAACACAACAAAAAATAATGATATTTTAATAGAAAATTCCAACAATAATAAATTTTAATGAAATTCAAACGACAATTTCAATGGACATTCAATTGCTATTATTTTCGTTGAAATTTTTCATTTGGTTCAATAGATATTCCAACAAAAGTAATCTGTTAGAATAAATTTTTTATTGAAATTTCCGTTGGTACCGTTTCAATAGAATTAGAATATCTATTGAATATGTTATAGTGGAATTTTTCGTTAAAATGTGATATTTTTTAGTGATGAGCTATTTTAGCATAAAAAGTGTTATTTTAGGGTTAATTTAATAAATATAATTTCACGATATACATATTATTATTTATCTACAAAAATTACATTTTTTTTAATTTAGTTATTAGTTTATCCTTTTCACATATAGTACATGGCTGTCTTTTTATGTGTTTTATTTTTATTAATAGTAAGTTAAAAATTAAAAGATTCATAAGTTGAAATACTAAATCATGCTAGTAAAAAATAATTTAAAAAATAATGTTTTTTAATCTAAATAATTCAAGCCCGGGTAGATTTTAAATTCTGGCTCCGCCCCTGCTACCAAACATAGTCTAAGTAGCTTGAATCGAATGAGTTCAAACAGATAACTGAGAAGTCGTTTATTAAATAAGTAGCTTATTTTCTTTTTAACATTGTATTGGAAACTACATTTTTTTTATAAATAATAGTAGTACAATCCAATGATAAACATTTTCCTAAGAAGATTTAACAACAATTATCCTCGTCTTACTTCATTTTTTTTTTTTAATTAAATTTTTGGGATGTAGCCTATTGGCAGGTTTGTAGAAATCAATGACTGTGGGGTCCAATTACATGAAGTCATCTTCATATTAACTTAGCGTGGTCCTACACTCCACCTGTATTGCAGTCTACGCATTTATTTATGGTGGATTAAAAAAAAACATTTTTTTTTTTTGAATTTCAATCCAACTAATAAATGGCATTTACTGTTACTTTAATCTAATAATCATGGCTATAACACATTGTAGAATTTGTTGAAATTCGAGAGAATTTCACAACAATTGAGGTCTAAAATTTTGCCACACTAAATAGTACTCTCTCTTATTAATAAGTGTCGTTTTGAGAAATTACACAGTTATTAAAAATATTTTCTTTGTCAATAATAACCCTCGAGGATAAAGATGAATGTTTTGAAAAAAAGATGAAAAGTGAATATAAAAAGACGTATTGTAGCTATTAGCTAGATGATGACAATAATGGAAAAATATGTACAAAATATTCAAAAACGATATTTATTTTGTTAATAGTTGATAATGCCAAAATGACATTTAAAAAGAACAGGAGGTAGGAATATAC